TACTGCTACTGCTACTGCTACTGCTACTGCTACTGCTACTACTACTACTACTATTGTTATTATTATTATTATTATTATTACTATGGGTATAAATCGAATTGTACAGGTGATAATACGTACAGTCTAGCGACGCATCTTAACCCTTTTGTGGAATCTTTAGTGATGTTTGTGAGACGATTGGCAGAAAGATGAAGTTCCCTTTGACAGTGACCAATATATATAGTATATAGTATAACTCATTATCAACAGAAAAAACATTACATCTGACACAACAAAATAGGATTTATTTTTGACTGTTTTATATATAGAATAATGTGGAGATTGGGAGTTGAAACGTGTAACACTATACCCATGCTCCAAAATATTCCGATATGCAAATTAGGAGTTTCGATGCCATGTTTGGAATTATGGGTTTGGTTTCAAGATTCACCACTATTCTCTCAAATATCAAACTTCTCGCTGAATTTCCCCGGGGGTACTCCCTTCGTCCAAGTGTTTAATAGGGCTAGGGGTGATCGGCGGTCGATTTTTAAAATGACCCTTAAAAGGTACGCATAAATTAAAAGAGCTGTGAAAGCTTTGATCAATTCAACCCCAATAAAGGTACAATTTCATATCCGCATTTTGTTATTTAAATCATGTAAGTATACACTCTGGTGCATCAAACACTTTGTTTCTCTAGAAATGTGCAAAGCATCGTCATATAGCCATGCCTATTTACTGTAATGTTTGTTCATTTRAGAAGATAAATAATAAATGACCCTAAAGGTACGGAGCCTTCTACAAAACCTCCCTCGGCTTCGGGGACATTTAATGACCAATATCCCTCAAGTCATGTAATTACTTATAATAATTGACTTTTGAGCCGGAACCCCTTAAAGGTGCAAGCATGAAATATTTTCACCCCTAAAAGGAACGCCATCAACCCTACCACTTAGACGAAAGGAGTACCCCCCTCAGGGTGAATTTCCTGATTTTCAGCTGAGAAGGTTTACTGAATATTTCATTCAAACGTTTGGAATATCTGTCTCTAATTAGGTTTTTGTTATTTTCGAAGCAAGAGGTCGTGAGTACTGGGAAAAAATTGCCAAGACAAAATATAAATATTCTGAAGCATCGCGACAAAAGAAGTGTATGGATGTTACACGTTTCAACCCCCTTTTATGGTGTGATTCGAGCCCAGTAACCATTCATTCTTACAGACTATCTGTGTGACACGTGTGTGTTATCGGCCAAGGTTCGATGTCTGCTAGGCTTGTGACAAGGTTTTCATCGAGATTTCTTTAATATAAAAAAAAGTTCTCATCTAACTTGGACCTCCAGGCCCGCTCGTTTACGCGCGATTTGAGCGGCGATTCTAATGGCAATTTTACGGGAATTGGTTGCAACCAAGTAGCTGCAAATTCGAACATGCTAATTTCATTTTGAAAATTGCCGAAAGTTGCACTAAAGGCCCGTTTACACGGGCGGTATTTGTCGGCCTTTATCGAAAAATGATACATCATTACAGTCTTTTTTTTGCGATAAAATCTCCACTTAAATCTCCGCTGAACGTTTTGTGTCTTTATAATAATTTACAAAGGATGATTCTTTCTATATAAAATCCAAGTTAAAATTTCGTAGCCGTTCGTTTGGATGCAAATGGCGAAATAGAAAGCGTACGCATTCGGATGGATCACGCCACCCAACTAATCAAAAAGCGAAACTTGTTATATATTTTAAAAATTTATAGATAAAATGATTAACTTACATTAAGGCAAGTAAATTATATATGCTGAAGATATTCTTGGGTAGTCTACGAAGTCCAGCGTTAGTAAATGTACTGCAACAGCAATTACGTACAGATCGTTCTATTTTTCGATYTATAAGATATTTGAAATATAATGCGCGCCCAGATTGGCTTTCAAATATGCCTATCGTGTTTATATCGCTCGCGCAAAGATTTTTAAAAATATTTTAGAAAACCAATAAAAAACGCGTATGCCTTTGTACCGTGATATAAGCACTCTGGGAGCTATTGAGCACTCGAAGAATAAGAGTACACCGTGAAGCTTACTTCTCTCGTGCTCTATGGTTCCCAGCGTGTTATATATCACAGTACAGAGACATGCTCGCGCGTTTTATATTCCTTAAGCATACAGCAATTTAAAAAATATCGAAAGGTATAATATAAATTGTCTGTCAACTTCGTGTGCACGCGATTGGCATTTAGCAGCGATTGCTTTAGAAAACTGAAACAGCGATATTACAGCAACGACATCTACAGTAAAGTTTATATTTTTACACAGTGCAGCATGTTTGGATTAAAAAGATGTCATAAAAACTCGAATTTACACATACATTCCTTCTAAAAGTGGAAGATGTTGAAAAGATGAGCTGGTCAGATTTATACTCAAACTGATGTTGTTTAGCAAACTGAAAGAACAAAATAAACAACAAGCAAGCACGTGTTTAGTATTTTAAAGAAATTGCTTTTCGTTTTCTCTGTACTGATTCCTTTCCCTGCAAACTTCAGAGAATAGGGATACGCGAAAGACAGGAGAAAGTTTTAGATCTTCAACTGGGTTACCTCATACTAGCTATAAATATCTATGGAATATTTTTCTCAGGGGAACGAGACATGGCCTAGAATGGAAAAGCACCTTTCCCCAACTTATCGCGGTCTACTGTTGGATTTCCAATCAGCTGATAAAAGTAAATCTCATTATTTAGTAATCTCATCATTCGCTCCAAATGGTGGGGTCAAACACTGAGCTAGTCTCCCCCACAGCCGCTTTCAGTGTCGTCACGCAACGCTTTCTCCCCTGAGTAGGGAGAAAGTGTTGCGTGACAACACTGAAAGCGGTTGTTGAGGATACTAACACTGACCCCACCATGTGATGACAGCCAGTAAGAAATCTATTAAAAACTTCCAGCTGATCTGAGAGAAAATAATAGCCAATCAGAAACGAGAACATTTGCAAAACTCTGGGTGTCAACGGATTTTCCTGTTTAAATTATTGATTTTTAGACCACTAAATGAAAAGCAAATAACGTTGCTAATGAGAGGTTGATAACAGTACCATAATGACTAACRAGTTTTATATTTTTATTGGGACTGGTTTTTATTTTTCGCATGTCAATACATTTATGACACCTCAGTTTTACATTGACGCCATTACTACGTCACTAATTCAAATTAGCTTGTTGTGATTCAGCTGWTGAATATTCTGCACAAGACAGCAAATAACATCAAATAAAGCCAAAAAATACAAACAGTTTGGTAGTTTCTAATGGTATTTGCTTCAAGACATGACTGGAAGCAGGAGCTGAGCAGGTGACAATCAGCGCAAAAATTTGATGAGTTCGTTCTTTTTCTTCACAGAGACAGTGGACTGGGCCTGTTAAAAACAAATAAGAAATTAAAGCTCTAAAACACTTGTTTTATTGAACCCTGAAACAGCCTCTGGGCTGATTAAATTCAGGACACGGCTAACTCACAAATCGAATTTAGTGTGTTGGGTTTTGCGGAGGGAGGAAAACCTGGTGAAAAACCTTCGAGCAGGAGCAGGCGTAGCACAGTTGGTTAGTGCGYGGCCTTCGCCGGGAGCTAGAGGTCCACGGTTCGATTCTCATAATCGCACGTCTGTTTTGACTTCACTTAAATAAAGAAAAGCACTTATGGAGAGAGTGGGTAAAGTGCGTTGGCTTTAATTTCATTGATAGCAGTTGAATATCAACTGAAGGGAATACCAACGTTAAATATAGGCTCTTTACCTTTAATTTAAGGAATAGAGTATTTTTAAACAAGTTTTCCGCAATTTATGGGTTTCCTGTGGCACTAGCGCGAGATACCCTGTAACAATCACCTTCCCCTTTTCTAAATCCTGGATCCGCGCAACCTTAAGAGGTCTATTGCATGACTTACATGTTGTATTACCGCAGACCAAAAACGCAGTCGTTCCCAAAGGGGAAACAAGATGTCTTGCAATGTCTGATCTTCTACTGCAGTCGTCTATAGACTGCGCATTTGCAGTACATTCCCCTAAAACTAGCCAGGAATCAGCACTTTTTATATTTGAAAATAAGTTATTCACAAAAGCGATAGCTCGATCATGAAAGCCTAATGAACGACAGAGAGCACGAGCAACGTAAGTATACTTTGTAATATCGTAACGGCCAAAGGCTATTTCGCTCCATTTCCCGTTGATCGAGATTTCGACTATTCCTTTGGTTTGGGTAGAATTGAATATTGGTGTTTTGAGGCGAAGTTTAGGTTCTGTAAAGAAATAATTAATTGACATAATGAGTGGGAGTGTCCAAATAAAGTCAGAAAGGAAAGAAAGATGGATTGATGGGATATAGATGGGATGCATGCACGGACGGACTGATGCATGGACGGATGCATGCGGATCAATGAATTAAAGGATTCCTGCCTGCCTGACATACAACATCCTCGGTAACCCAGGGGTAAAAATCATTCGCTCGTTTCTCGCTACCAGATTTTTTTTAGTAGCGAGCAAAGAGCGACTCCTGGGTTACCGAGGACTTGCACCGTACAAAACTTACTTCCACATAAAGGTTTGACTCCAGACCATAATCCCAAAGGAAGACATGTTCTTTCACGTGATCCTATCATGTGATGACTTCGACCTTCGTTACACGTGAAGTTACATATGCTGCCCACGTGATTGGTAGCTGAACATTTCATGGACATATTCACAGGAGTGGAGAGATTTTCACAACGTTTCGCTAAGAATATAGATTTAAATAAATCAAGATTTATTAAATGTCTAGCATAATCATAAATTAATATTTGATGACATTTAAACGATTTATCCAAAGAGACGCGTCTTCTTTTCACAAATATAGGTTACAGTTTTCAATATAATATAACTGTTTGTGAATAAATCTTCAACTGCATGAGATTTTATCCTTTTTTACCTTGGGTTTTGTAGAACTGCAATTCATCGATACCAACGTTCCCTGACATCGTGGAAGGGCTAAGAACGTGTATTACAACCTGTTAGAAAAAGAAATGATTATTAGCACCCAGTTACATACCATACCACACCATACCATACCACACCACACCACACCACACCACAACACACCACACCACACCACACCACCCGTACTATACATCACACTACACTACGCCATATGACATTGCACCACACCATACCACACCACACCATACCACACCACACCAACTACACCTATACACCATACCATACAACACCACACCATGGCCACACCACACTACATGCACTATATCGCAAAACACTACACACAGTCATATCATTTCATACTCACCGTTTCTTGACTAGCATTTATTTTTGTTGTGAACCATTTCCATTTTCCTAAATAATTATCAACACCGTTGGCGTTTAAAATGAATATGATCTTTTTCCCAACAAGTAAAGAGAACCTAACAACTCCATACTGACTCAAAGAGAACGTTAGAAATCCTGAGCCGGTAAAGTTGGGGTATACGAGACTAGTATTTAACGCCTTTATAGGATAACTTAGCAGCGGAGACTGGATATGACGACCTGTTGAAAGGATAAAAACAACTTGTAAAATATAGAAACATTTTGCTGCAAAGTGCTGTCTAGAAAATGTTTAACAAATTAACCTGAAACACATGTACAGAGGCGAATCAAGAAGGTGAGGGCGGCGCCTATTGTTCCAGGAATACATTTGCATAAAAACATCTCAATTTCGTTTGTCCGCAATGTTTTCCCATTTGCGACCACGTGTTATTCTCTTGAGAATAGAAGCAACATTGAGCCAGCAGCTTTTTGTGCTGCGGTATTTTTCATTAGTATCAAATATGTATGATATCAAATATGGAGTGCCGGAACTGACCAATCAGAATTAATCACAGCAGAAGTGCGAGTATAGAATTATGGCGTCGCCGCCACAATCCGTCCTCTTACATGTGCTAGGTACCCAGGGGTATTACTAGTTGATTAATAAGTAAGTTGAGGAAAATATTTCTCGTTGGTTTCGTGAAGAAAATCATAATCAGTATTTGACACGAAGAAAAAATTGCAGGGAGCGTGAAAAGACTATTTGCTTCTTTTCTTTATGTCTGCTCAATTATGAATATCATATATATGTATATTAAGCTCCTTGCGCACTAGGAGACTTATAGCTGTTGGACCGCATGGGGACATTAGTGATTCACAAATTCCGTTTTCAGGGACAAAACTCAGTCTCTACACTCGCAGCAAGTACTCCATGTCGCCAGTATCGCGTACATCTCGCGAATTGCCGTTGCAGCATAACCTATGATCGTTCAGAAAATCTCGAGACAATGGGAGGTGAATTTGAGAGGGACCTGTTTTGATTTACCTATTGCATGCGCTTTCGATTAGTTTGCTATGTATCCAAGTTAAAATAATGTAATAATAATAACAATAATAATATTAATAATAATATTTTTATTTTTCCTGATTTAAAAAACCGATCAGCTGGACACGATAGAACAGTAATTGGTATAAACCGGTGATCAGCAGTATAAAATCTATGAAAATCTAAATAAAATCYWTACTAAAATTTGCGATTAAGAACCCAAAAGTTTAAATATAAGAAGGGAGAAAATTAAGTATAATATATACACAGAAACACAAAAACCCCGCGCCCACAAACATATATCCATTGTATATACGATCTTAATCATGTTTCTAAATCTCAAAGAAAGATAAACGTATGAAAACAAATAAACTAGCGAGCACTAGAAGATTGTACAATATACTGAAGCAGTTTTTACTTATTCCGTCGGCTAATATCCATGTTTGCGTAGCATTTTCTGGGTGCTTCCATCCACACAATCCGTCATCAAATGAACATGTCAAGCAAGACACTCCTATAAGGAATACAATAATGTTAATAGATTGACAGATGGATATAACAAAGGAGGCCGCTTACTCTGATATTTAACTTTGCAGCAGGTTTAGGCATTGCTGCGCTAGTTTCATTGGCTCAGATTAACAGCCGTTGGGGCTTGGTACGCATGCGCTCAGTGTGACCACAAGAAAAACAAGACAAAGAGATATGTGAACACGAAATAAAAAAAGAAGGAACTAACGGGAAATAGAGTGAGAGAAGAAAAAAAGGAAAGAAACTATGACAGGAAATAAGAATGAAAGAAAAGAAGAAGAAAAAGGGAAGAGCAGGGAAAGAGGAACTTTCTTGATTTTCAATCGGCAAATCTGATTTTTTCCCCCGCTCAAATAAATATATAACTAACTTAAAAGTACACTCAAGAAATGCAAACATAGAAAAATGACGAGGAAGGTGAGGCCGATCGGAGTTTGCAGGCATTTATGAAGCTAAAAGTTTTCGTTTTTTCAGATATCAGTCCAGCTTCTTATTTTCTTTTGCCGTTATGAAAGGCTCAATTTGGTAACTGGTTCTTTCATTGATTTTTGCAAAAAACATCTTTGTGAGAGAAGTGTTTTACATTCACTTTAGCATAATTTTTAAAAAATTTCGTTCTATAATAAATGGATTACAGGTGTGTTACAAATTTTTCCTTGATCTTGAAGAATACCTCATGAAAATAGAGAGATCCCTTGTAAATGTTTTTCTTATTCAAAAACTTATCGTATTCCAAAATATTTGAACATTTTCGTAAAGAAAAAACAAGTGTTCTGACTGTGTATATTTTATATTTTCCCTTGATATCAAATAAGCATCTATACTATATATACCATATGCTCAAATTGGTGTACAGTACAGAAGTCTAAAAGCTTTGAGGTTAGGCACTTACCATATATAGCGTAAGATAATCCCAGAAAAGCAAACAAGATTGCCCACATCTTTGGGAGGGTTAAATAGGTTTTCTTCCTGAAAAATAGTGTAAAAAAAATGTAATTCAGCTAAAAGAGAACTTGATAATCGACGCTGCTGCATTTATTGTAGAAATTCAGTATTGTATGAAAATCATTACGACTTTTTTTCAGATCATTTATTACGCGTAATCTGAAAGTATTTGATAAAATACGCTTATGACTGGAGGAAATGGAGAAGAAGAAGAACAAAAAGAAAGAAGAAAAAACAAGGAAAAAAAAAAAAAACAAGGAGAAAAAAAAGAAGAAAGTCCCAAAAAACTTAGTCGAAAAAAGATTTCTTCTTTTCCTTTCTTATAAGTGCTACATTCGGGGTCTTTTTTCTATGCCAATCATTCATAGTTATCAACAAGGAAAGTTCTTACCTAACTTAATGCTGTGTCATGCACTCATCTACGGGGCTCTATATGGTCTTGAACTGCAAACAGATAAACTGATTATTGTTGATATTGAAACGAGTCTTATTGCCTAAAAGACCATCTGTATGTCACTTTAATGTTTCGCGTTATCGTTAGTTGTTCTCAATTTTAAAAAGCAATTTCAGCTCCAAGGCCGTACTAATTAGATTGGACAATACTCATTACTTGCGAACCTGTCATAGTTAACTGAGATTCAATAGTCCACTTCGCAGGTCCTCCGCCATCTTGAAAGGTAACCGTGCCTGTGCAGTACATCGAAGCGAGAACGGCGATGACCTTAGAATGTCCAAGATGTTAAAAAAAGGTCTCTATCGTTGAAAGGTCAACGCCGCTCTTGCTTCGATGCACATGCCCTGTTACCTTTCGAGGCGGCCAGCTAGCGAAATGATCAGTTAGGTTTCACTTCCCTGCAAACAAAATTATTTTTTTAAACATTATTTGACTGAGATTGGAATTGTGGAAGAAGCCAGGTGCTAAAATGTCGGCCAATAAAATKCAATCTCTACACAGGGAGTCCACAAGACCTGTCTTTAATTCACCCGTAGACCTTAGCATTAAATCTACTAAGATTTGTGTCCCTCTTTGCCTTTTTAATTGCCTTCTTATATGTTTTATGAAGATGCTTGAAGAACTTTTAAAACAGATTCTTTTCGCTCTAAAATAATAATATTCAAATGATGTTCCATTGATCCATGCTGCATTGCAAGTAATTTAGGTACTAGTCTTTTTCGGTGTCACGAAGAACGCCTGGGGGAAATGCATCTGGATAGATTGAACAAATGACAAAAGATGATAACTGAGATGGGTTAATCTCACATATCAAGCTTTACTCTATATCTTTAGTGTCGAAGTTGGAGTAGAGAAATCTCACTCCATATATGGTATGATCAATTCCATATTTGCATTGTGCGGAAAAGCGGCAAACGAAAAGGCCGTCATTTTATAGTGAATTCGACATGAACATTTTTGAAGAAGAAAGGAAAAGAAAAAAAGACAAGTAAAAAAGAAAAACTTTGGAAAATCGAGGAAGGATACGGGGACGATGTAACTCGTGGGTCTGCCTCGCAGACTGGAGGCTACAGCGATTGAGACTGGAGGCTACAGCGATTTCCACTTGAGCTCACCGCGCGCCGAATTTGTTGATTTTGAAACGTTCCATAATTTAGCGCGTTTGAAGTGTCAGACAGTCTGTCTCGGTCGGCCAAACGTTGCTCGATCGTAAAAGAACGTTTGCGTTCTTGGGAAAATGTCACAACGCAATGTAAAGTTAAGTAAAGCTGGCCGTAGCTACGAAACTGGTCGTCCTTTGAACACAGATCTTCGAAGAGCAATTATCGACGAAATTGTTGTTCTTGGTAGTGATGTCGTCACATAAATTTTTCCGGGTTTCTATCAAACTGTTGCAACCAAATTTAGAGTCACTAGAAGTACAGTTCCAAAAATATGGGAGCGCTTGCGCGCAGAACTAACTGAAAAACCGAAAAATGGTGCAGGTGGGAACCCAAGTAATCTCTCAGCCGAAGATCTAGAGCTGATTGAGGTTTTAAGACGGCAGAAAGGTTCAATATAAACTTTTGTGAAGAATACTCCACCTTCACCTGATACAAACCATCGCGCTGTTTTCACGATCAAAGAAGACGTTCACTCACGCTTTGTGCAACGTTTGGCCGACCGAGACGGACTGTCTGACACTTCAGACGCTTTAATTAGCGAACGTTTCAAAATCAACAAATTCGGCGCGCGGTGCGCTCAAGTGGAAATCGCTGTTAAAAGAATGCAAGGAATATCAAGAGGAATATCAACACTTTTTGAGCCCTAATCTACCTAAACCATTATTTACCAACAATGACCTTCTTCGCTATCTATCTGCAAAAACTTTTGGAATTTATTAYAGATATAATCAGAAAACGCGAAAAGCTATCAGAATTCAATAATACTATTAATCAAATTGGACTTTATAAATAATAATGAACATCAATATTTAATGAACGTTGTGTACTGTATCTTTTCATAATTCGTTTATTAATACAATATATTCTCGAAGATATTAGCCATATCATATGTATAACTACTCTAAAAATTTAGGTAAAATAAACTTTATGTATGTATGTRAATATGGGCAAAAATACTCCTTAGGTTTTCAAGTTTGTTTTTTTAGCTTATCAGACTACAGTCACAGTCACGTGCATCTAACAAGAACTATTTGAAATTTAGCATACCGTGTTTTTAAAAGAAAGTGTTTGCAGACAGAAAAACCGCAAGCGCAACCATAACTTGCCGCCAGATTTCAGGACAAGGTTTTGAAAGGAAAAGTAGATTATATTTAACGATTATTCGAAGTGAACATCGGGGAATAATAACCGAAACGAACTTGAGGTTATTATTCACGATAATCATTGAGYCTGAGGTGAATAAATAGTATAAATGCACAGGTGATTCTTTCAAAAAAAGCCTAAAAAAAGAAGATAAAAGACACATTTTGTGCCGGTAACAGCAACAAAGCGGCTGCCCGCCATTTTGGGTTATTGCTGGAGGTGATTATCGTGTGATACTCTAAGTTGCTCGACCAATCAGCGCGCGAGGATAATATTGGCACCCTGTGCACTCCGAGTTTTGAGTCGGTGTTCAGTGTATTGGTTTCTTTCTTATAGTTCCTCCCAGACTTGACGACGGTGTTGCCATGCACAGCTTGCGGTCTTTTACGGAAAGGAAAAGCCAAGTAGTACTAAAGTCAATCGTGTTCTTTTGGAAATCACCATAAGTCTTGCTCAATACACAAAGCTGGTGTAATCAATTATTGATAATACCTAATTACAATATAAGGATGATGTTTGTGGAGCTTATCTGCAAGTGTAAAACTGAATGTAAGTATAATATATTTTACAGGGAATAAAAAGCTGGGCATTTTTCTGAACTAAACACAAAATTTCTATAATTTACTGATCATAAAAAGGGTTCCTCTCATCGTGAGAGAACGACTRAGGACATTCACGGAATGCTGCCACGCAGTTTAAAATCAGTTACGTTCGGGTTAGGGTGCCTACGAGACCAGATCGTCGTGCCRGGCGACAATCCCCGAAGGAATTTTGCGAACACTGAAAATAAAGGGTTTTTCAAACGGTTTATCTTATACAGGTTAGCAGTGAGTGACTGAGAGAGAGGGGACCCACGTTTTCACGTCCTGGTCCGAGAAGTCTTCAAGGTCTAATCATTTACAGATATTATTACAGGCAGCACCTTCGCCAGTGTTAGTCCAGCCGGGACTCGAAGCACGACCTCCCGCGCACAACAAACCGACGCTCTTACCAACTAACCTGTGTGAATCATGAAATAGCGTTATTTTTTTCCTTAAAAAAAATGTTTCTTTGTTTCCTCCCTTTCCTCCCGTTTTAACAGCTTGTTCTTGGCTCAATATTCGAAACTTGAAATCTCTTGATAAAATCTCCCCCCCCACCCCCACTCCCACACACACACACACACTTTCCTAATTAAAAAAAAGAAAAAGTAAGATGAGTTTCTCAAGAAACTCTTCGATAATTGAAGAATGGTTAATTTAATCTACAATACAGTTAATGACTTAACTGGCTAACGTAAGATTTTTAAGTTTTGCGTTATGTGGTAATTGGGTTGATTTTATGAGTTTTTAAAAAAGTAATCACTAATCCTTTTTTATCCCAGCTTTTGTAAAAAGCGTCGTGGCTTGAACTCCCATTGAGAGTGTCAATAATAAAGCATGTTTGAAAAGTATCGAATGAATTATTAATTCGTTCCTTTTCTTATTAATTTTTTTTTTTTTTTTTTAAATATGCTTTTAAAAAAGGTACATCAAGTCGAATTAGAACACGTCTCTAGTCTGACAAAGAATATCATATCTATATATATATATAAGTGCATGCTTATAGCTACACGCTAGACWAATTAGTTTTCGAGGCTCGGAAATACTGCTGCCTGGGAGACGGGAGTGAGCCTGTAAAGCCGAAAAGGCAAACAGCCAACTAATCTCGCGTTTAAATTCACCTGAACCACATCTTATATATTCAAGACCAGGGCCGATTCTACTGGCATATAAGTTCCAAGGGTGATTAAGCATCAGTTAAAGTCTCAAAAAGGGGTTGTTCCCTACCATTGAAATCTAGCCAGCATTAACTAAATGTAATTTCAACCAAGACATTATTTTAATTTTAGGACCGACTTTAACACGGCTTGGACACAAGGTGAGACGCACGTAAGCAGTACGCCGTTCATTTACTCTAGCAGATTTTTACGAACCAACTTGCATATGGAATCTTATTTCTTCTGCGAAGTCTCTGACTGACGTCCCGGTATGAACCCTGGTTCAATGTCTCCGTCGCAAGCAGCGCTGCATGATGTGGGTTTTCATATATTGACTGAGCAGGTATGGGGTCCAGATAAGGAGATATTATTTGAGTTCTTTATAAAAATGAAGAAAATAATTTAGACCTCGAACAATGTTCTCATCTGGACTCACGCTCGGTCAGTAACCTGTATGTACATTTAATTGCTTACTGATATTGACGGATTTCATTGTTGTATATGAGGTCCATCACTTTAAGTACCTTTCATGTGTAGTGGATTAAAATCCAAGTGGCACCTGTTTTTGCAGGCGTAATTTTAATTATTGTAGTGCGCATGCTCAGTGAGTTAGTGTAATTTAAATAGTGTTACTGCGCATGCTCTATCCTATTTATCTAATCTCAGTAAGGGTCATCTTATGTGCATTACTTACTCGTGACAAAATTCGACACCAACGTGTCAGAACGTTTATAGGCTAGATCWATGGTCAAAGTGCACAAGAAAGACGCTAAATCTTCCTTAAACGGTAAGGGATGTAGCGGTTAGACGGATTACATTGTCCCTGTGATGAAATTATTTAGATTTATTATAGTTAATTTTTTACGCCATTCGAAGAGAACGAACGCCGCAGATACTTTGTTCCTTTTTTTAAATGATGCTCTTGTGGTTATAACAGATCTGCTCTCTGTACGATGGAAAAATAAGATCCTGCGATCTGCTCACAAGATTCACTTTTTGTAAGGTAAGACAGAAAACATTTGTTTTCCGGATTATTTCACGAATTTAGACAAAATTAAATTTATCCATTCATTWAAAAAAATTTCAAATTCTTTATTTCATTTTATTTTATCTCATTGCATTTAGATATCTAGTAAAATTCATTCGATTGCATTATTCCCAGATTTTTTTGCTCAAAGTCTTAGTCAAGGCGTCAAAAAAAACCTTATCTATTTGTTAGTTGTCATTTTAGCCGTTTCTTTGGAGTCGCTTATCTGTAAAATTTAATTTGAAAATGAGATCCACTAAAAAGGGAGTTTTTTAAAATACACTATTCTAGCTCATGATTGTATGATAAGATTATACCTTTGTTTTATAAGAAATGACTTTACTTAAAGCCTCTTAGTATTAGTATAGTTTTCTCTCTTTCCTTTCTTCTTTTCTTTCTTTCTTTCTTTCTTTCTTTCTTTCTTTCTTTCTTTCTTTCTTTCTTTCTTTCTTTCTTTTTTTTTCATGCGATCACCTGTCAAACAATTATCCAGTTTTAAAATCCCCTAACGAGAGTGAAACGTTATTAGGAGTTTGTTGCTTTTTAACCGCGTTCAAGACAATTTAGTGATGTTTTCAACCCAAGTCTTTATGTATTTGGCGAAAATCATGAATTGCGTTAAATATACATGTATTTAAAAAACCCCATCCTTAATATGAATTAATTATTGATAGCTAAAATGCGCAGGTTTTTATGAATTATTCTGAGGTCTTTTGTTTTCGCACATTTTGTACTTCAAAAAAAACAAAACAAAAAAAACAACAAAAAAACAACAAAAACATAAAAAACGAATATTGAGAAAACTGTTCATTTACTATATTTCTGTTCCAATCCGTATAAGGACGACAGCATTTGATATGTGTAGGCTTGCGAAAGGGTCCATTTATTTGTATTTTGACTCGCAAAATTAACTCTAATTTTCCGACTAGAGTATCAAAGCATTATTCCGTGTGAAAATCAGCAGACTTTTAAAGAAAAATACTAATTCCTAGTTTATCTTTTTCAAATGTAATGACGGGGAATTCCTGTACTTTTGGCTTGTGGAAAGAAAATTAATTATCCCTAACACACATGCGTAGGAAGAAAAAAGAGCTGCGTTTACCTTGATGCGCAACGCTAAGAACTGCATCGCATTCGTAGCGATTCCTTCGAAAGCGCTACTCAAATTTTTCGACTTTTTTTTTTCATTATTTTTAAATCGCTGTTCATGTTTACATTTGTATTTAATTAAAGTTTTTTATGATTAGAACATTGCAAGGTTATTTAGATTTTATATAAATGAAAGTTCGTGATAATGAAAATAGTTGAGTCCAAAGCTTTTTTGTTTTGTTTTGTCTTGTTTTTTGTTGTTGTTGGTTGTTGTTGGTTTTCTTTTCTTGTCTTTTAATTGTTTCACCTCTCTCCGCTTTTTTCTTTCTTTTTGCTTTCCATCACCCTCTTTAGTCTTAAAATTTCTTATTTTTTCTTTCCACTCTTTTTTATTTCTTCCTTATTCCTTTATTTCTTCCTGATCATTCCTTCTTGCTTTATTTTATTTATTTATTTAAGATTGATTCTTTGCATTTAAGATTTGAGCGCGCGCAAAGAATTCTTACAAYTTATAAATTGAATTTATACTTTTCCAAGCCAACACCCTTCTGTCTTTCTAAAGATCCACGAAGATTGTCAGTAGAGTTGACTCTATTTATCTTTCGCTGTCCAAATTGTTATCTCAGTTTGAATCACACACTAATTAATGTTTTTCTTAGAACTAAAATTTGTCTTTGTGAAGGTCATAAACGCGAAATATATCTAAGGTTATAACAAGAAGGGTTCATAAATTTAAAAAAAAACATATTTCTGACCTTTAGAACAAAGGCGTTATAAACGATGCACGGGCGGAGCGGTAAAAAAATCAAAGGTGAAACATCTCTTAGCTAGTTTAGTGCTATATACAGTAGATCAAGCGGCAGAACTAAATTAGTGAGGCCCGACCCAAAATAACCTGGCCTATAAAGACAGTAGAGTGCTCACACTAAATCCGTGAAACAAATACTAWTTTTTAGCACTAAATAGTGATAATTAATCAATAGAAAACAAAGGATTCTGTATGAAATAGTACTAATTAGTACTAATTAATGTTCACGGTTTTAGTGCGTGCACTCTAATATGAAATTGGTTGAAATTATTCAGTTCTAATAATAATGAATATATAGCGTATTGAGCATGATATAACACCAAATATAACCCCATTTGGAAACTGACGAAAACTGCAGAGCATTACGTGGACRTCACCCCCTTCCCCATTTCCCTTGCCATATAAAGTAAAATGTCTTAACTACTTGAAACCTTGAACAAAAAGATCAAAATTTTGTTTACTCTAAGTTCTTATTTCAAGGTGTAAAAACCGTTCATTATTACACCAGTAGAGCTTAAGTCCTGATAAGGAGAAGATCTTACAGCTGTAGCCCCCGCATTAGATTATATTAGCATTTTTACTAACTTAAGTATCTTAATATTGTAAACTAGCATCGAGATAAACTTGGTCTCGCGTCATTCGTATTGGCCAAYCATCTCGTGCACCATTTGTTCCAATTCACAATATGACTTGGTGAACGAAAACATTTTTGAAATGATCTCTGATAGGATCAATACTCTGTAGGAAGTAAATCAATAGGTGGAACCTTTGTTTAAGACCGTCTTTATGCTATTGGAAAAGTGAGCCGGAGATCATATAGACGAACTGCCAGGTCGACTCGCTGTGCATCAGGGTATGTGTTATTACTAGCTCTTAATTCTACTCTTCAATCTTTCAATTTCATAACCTATAGATACCCATATTGCCTGATCAAAGCTAGGGCACGGCTAACTTACAGATAGCGAAATTGAATTTACCATGTTTTACGGAGGGAGAGAAAGCAAAGATAAAATGAAGAATCCCGAAGAAAAACCATTGATTCAGGGAAGCCTAACACCTCTTTCCTTAAGTGTGATGCTGAGTCTGGGAAACGATTCCAAGACTCCAGAGGTAAAAGGCGAGTGCACAACAACCCTTGGTTCCCTTATATCAGTCGAGTAATTTCAATTTAACGTACAATCTCAAAAGGTCAAAATGTTGTGGTATTCACTCACTTAAGTGTTGTGATCTACGTGTGGTATATCAAATCCTATAGTTAAAAAGCTATTAGTTATAGCCTTTTTTGTGAATCAGTATTTGCGTTTGAATGCCGGAATCAAATTATGATACCTTAACATCTGTCTTTAATGAGGTATTTTAAAAAGATGAAAATGAGATCGAATTAAGGCCCAATTTACATAGAGTAACCTGAAGCTAGGATAAGGTCTTTTGTCTCTAATTGTCGTAATCTAGACTTTGCTTTACAGGCTACTTTCATGTCAGTAAACGACGCATTAATCGTGCTATAGCTTCTCCTAGTATATATTTTTCGCTTGCACAGTTTTGCCGAAAGGAAAAGTTTGCATTAACATATGGTCAGGCTACTTTCATGTCAGTGTACGACGCTGTAATCGTGCTATAGCTTTTCCTAGTATATTTTATTTTTCGCTACCACAGTTTTGCCGAAGGGAAAAGTTAACATGTGGTCAGACTACTTTCTGTGTCAGTAAACGACTTAAAAAATAGTGATGCTAAAGCTTCTCCTAATATTTTCTTCGCTTCCACCATTTGATCATAAAAATCCATGCAGAGACCAAGGTTGTCGTGTCTAAGACTTAAAAGTATTTWATATATTTTATTCCATTCCAATCAACTTTTAATTATTTCGGTACTTTTCGTTATTTTGTTTTTCGTTATTCTGTCAACTTCGATGATCTATGAGACAATTTGACCTTGTTTTAAAAACGTATATTAAAACCAATCTAGACCGTGATTGGTTTACGTCTACTTGCAGTTAATGATCATACTAATGATATTACTTGTTTGGATCAAAAAATAGAAAATATTGAAATTAAGACMGAGATTCGCTCTATGTATTCATTTTGATGATAAAATACTAATAATTATAGAATAACAACAAAYTGGCTGACCATAAGAGATTTTTAGATAAGTGTTTAAGATTTGGGAAAACGGCCAGAAAAGCCATGTCAAACGCACTTTCATTTTCATGACAATAGATTGACGAGGTTCAGTCGAAAATCTCACAAAAGCCAAGGCTTAAAACCTTCTAGTTTAACCTTTTGTGCCATCGAGCTTTTTATGGTCTAGAAAAACTCATGAAGTTCGAGGTCTCAAGACCTTCTTAGCTTTTCTACCATTAACGTTAGAGCAGACATTCGTTTAATCATGTACACATCAAATTATTCAACTCTAGATTTTCCTAAAATGAAAAAAGCGGTATGAAGTGGGAAAACATTACATCAAAGCTAAAATGTTTGTATAAAGTATTTGCCTTTGGAAAATAGATGAAGAAATGATCAGATAAGAAGCAACACCCTTCCTACCCATCCACACATTTCTTTCTACTAGAAGATAAAAATTTTAAAGGCTAAAAAGCTGTCATTTTAGGAACTCTCCAAGACGTCAGTCTGGTGACTAATGTTTTATTTCAGCCATGAACATCATATCATGATAAGAATTTTTTTAGATAAAGCTTATCTATTTTTTGAGGACCGGTTTTGTAGTTTTACTTAAGCTAAAAGGCAGCGTAAAGTAGCTTATAAGTATATATCGCTGAATATAACTTCGTTAGAGTTAATTTATTGGTAATCCTAGTCACTTATTTTCGTTGTCCATTGCAAAAAGCTTGGCCACTAAGTAATCCAATTCGAAAATTTATGAATTGAAAAWAAAAAGAATTTTTCAGATAAAGCTTATCTAATTTAGTGGACCGGTTTTATAGTTTTACTTAAGCTAAAAGGGAGCGTAAAGTAGCTTATAAAAATATATCGCTAAATAAACTTTGTTAATTTTCGTTGACCATTGYAAATAAATCCAGTAAAAAATCTTGGTCACGAAGTAATCTAATTCGARAATGTATGGATTGAAAACTATTAAACTATTAACTATATATTAATACTAAACTATTCTTACATCTACCTATTAAGCTTCGGTTGTTGTATCCGGAACACTCACAACACTGAAAGCTATAGGACGATCCGAACTGCGGTGAAAGCGCAAGATCGTTTTAGCAGTTTTAGAATTTAGAARTTGATTTTTGATATAAGCATCTATTTTCTAGTTTTCGTTAGCTTGAAGTTTCCACCGAAGTAAAATTAAAACTGTTATTTCTAAATCGAATGTCAACAAAGCAATGACATTGATAAGTTCGTAATGAGAATTTGTTTTAAGTTGAAAGTCTTTTTTTAGATTTGATTTTAATGGGAACAGCAGTTTCTTATGATTCCTCAGTTTTAATAATAACTTAAGTTACAATTCACTTAGTAGATGAATTACATTTTATTTTATTAGATTTTATTTTATTTTGTTTGATTTAGATTAACTAGTTTTTTCCCTCGTTATAGTTACACTCAAGTTCCTAAATGGCAAAGCAAAAAGGCAAAACAATCAAAAAATCAAATCAACGTTGATTGGAACCAAAGTACCGATACTTAATTAATCCTCCTCGTTTACCAATATGTGGCTGGTTTAGCTAGATTATCTAGTTACCTGGACGATTTASAATTTCGTCAGTCTACAATGTCATTTTATATGACTAAAAAGCCTCGTTGCACCAAATGTCATTTTGTTCTGTTCAAAAAAAAAAAAAAAAGAAGCAAATTCCAATTTCTGTTTTGCTTCACAAAAGTTCTCAAATAACTAGTAAATTGTTTTTATTCTTATAATACACTCAATCGCACAATCTTTTGTACAATTCGGAATTAAAGGCTCGTCCAATTTTGAAAACTTTCAAAACATCACTCGTATCTATAAAATCCGAATTGTACTCGAAATCGTGCGATTTCCTATATTAATTTTTTCTTTCCTGCTTTATAGTTTTCGTTTTTCGTTTTCTATTAGATCAATATGGTTTTATCCTTCCTGTCTGGATAAACATATCTTATATCCAGACAACATGCAGCCGTTTCATGTCGGCGATTGARTAATTACAGGTAATCATAAATTGCCTGAGGGTCGAACTAGCACCACAAATCCTAACCATGGCTATTATTGCTTTTTTTAAAAACATTTAACAACACAAATTTGCTTTGAATTCAAATGATTAGCTGAAAAGCCGCACTCCATCTTTGCGCAATTTTCTGTTGATAAGTTTKCCAGTTGATAAAATAACATAAGACACGCAAAATAAGCTCAAAAAAGAGTTTGAAGAGGTTTTGTTGAGTATTTTGCACATCAAAACATTGAAATAACGTCATCACGATAAGTGGACGCACCAAAAGGATGCGCTCGAACAATGCACGCGAACGTCCTTAAGGAAGTGGTTAGCTCAACAGCTGTGATTAAAAACTTGAATTCAATACGTTTTTTCTCTCTAATATGCGAAAGTTTGACGTCAGCGGTATTTTATTTWAAAAAATAACTGACTCATTTTGGCTGTAGATTTGAATAATAATTATTGCTTTCAATAATTTAAAAAATTATTATACGTATTATTCAGGTAATTACCTGGGTTACCTTTTGACACCTGCCTTTTTGACATCAGGGGGTTTTTGAAGTGTACGTTTTTTCTATCTCCCATGATGACCATTTCAAAACATCGATGAATCTGTAGATGTTTTCGTATCCTATCCTAGATCAGCGACATTCAAAGGTTTCGTTATTTGCTGCGTTTTAAAAATACTGTAAATCAAAAGCGCCCTATTTTACTAGGATTTATCTGGCCTGATGTGCACTTATGTTATTCAGTCAGACTGAGTTAATTCAMAGGATAACGTGTGCGCCGACAAATCATTTATTTTATTTTTTTATTTTATTTATTCGAATGAAATATGAAACGGCAGTGAAAACCAATATAATGAAATAAAATAAGATACTACTACAACTACTACCACTAATACTATTATCTCCAATACCAGTACCATTACTACCACTACCACTTTCACCACACCACCATCCCTACTTCTATTTCCATTACTTCCACTATCACTATCGCAAACACTTAAACTGCAACTACTTCTGTTACGGTTATCATGAACACGAACAATAACACTGCCACCTCATCAACACCTTCCTGGCCAGTCTCCATCACCATCACCATCACCATCACCATTATTTTGTCATTATTACCTCTGTTACAATTATCGTGCACATGGACAACAATACTGACACCTTAACAACACCTTCCTGGTCAGGCTACTTCAAAACRACATCTCCAGGATCGTAAAAATTTAACCTTTCCGAATAGTAGTCCTACAGCGCTTTTCCCATTTTAAAATTCCTTATCTGCCTGTTATTACGGCTGCCCGTTATCCTTTTAGATTTTTCTACTAGTTCCTGTTTTCCAAATTACAATGATTGTTAGTCTTAGGAGCTCTTATTACATGAACATGTTTTCAATATTTAATAAGATAGCACTCTTAAATTGAACTACATCCCGCTGTGCGTACGACAACATCAATTATGAACGCTGATGCTAAAATAAAATAAATGATGCCATTGAGCCTATGAATTCCTGATAAGGCCATATGGTGCAGGGATAAAAAGAGGCTTGTAGGTTTCGTAGCCAATAATGTTTTCTGGAAGGGCGATTTCTCAATCTTGATYAATAGAAAATAGAATAATTCATTCTCATTTGTTTTCCTCAATAGTAATATGTAATTTATAGAAATTGGGTTCATATCATGAAAGGTTTTATTTTGCAAGTATAATATGATCCCATTRAGATTATTCAGCATTTATTACGTGGTACTTGGTTCGTGGTTTTAACCATGTTTAATTAGAAATATGAATGAAAACGGTAGCATAAAAAGTAGAGTGCTAAGGACATAAAAAACTTCTCATTAACAAAAGGTTTGTTTTATTTCTAGACGTGAGTAAAAGGCCAAGAGAATGTCGACTGTCCTTCAATACGTTAACAGTCTTGCCGCGCTGTTGTTGGTGCTGTTCACGACAAGGTAAGGATCCAGCAAAATCCTCTAATTTTTGCATTTTTTATTTCGTTCTCCGTTGATCAATGTAGTTTTARTAGATAGTCTAAGCCCCTTTGAAGGAACTACTTCCAGTTAAGTGTAGCATCGCTCATCATGTAATAGATAATAGAATAAAACATACGTTGTAGCTTGTCCGCAAGCATATTGCACGCAATACTCTTATTCTGTTTTTTCTCTTTTTTGGTTGTTTAGCATYTAATTCTAGTATTTTTCATGCTGTAAGGATTGTTTGTAATTAACAGCTGCTTGAGCTGCGCTCTGTATTTACTCCTTTAAGAGCAAAATGATGAATAATCGACATTTAAGGTATTAAAATCATTGGATATGTGTTTATTAAAACAAAGACTGTGAAGCTCATACTTTAATTGTTAAGCATTTTGGYATTGTCTACAACATTTATCTTGATCAAAATCCCAAAAGTGAGAATAATGAAGATTACCAATCATTCTATCGAAATTAATGACGAATGTGGTTAAACTTGTCCAAGAAAGGATGTCCCGCCATAATTGCCGCAAAAACCAAATGATTCAAATAATGATAATGTGAACTGGTAGGTTAGGTCATTGATTCTCTGTCGTTTAATGTYGGATTGGATCTTTGATAAATTGATATCATGACTTTAATGTTTAAAGGACATGTACAAAAAAGGATTTAAAAAATAATAGTATAATAGTATAGTATAAATACACCACAACAACTTTTAAGTGTTTAAATAAAATGAAAGACATTAAGCGCATTAGCTTATAGGTCATAAACACCTAATTCAAAAAACGTTGTCATCGCCAAAGGCGATAGGCGATAGGTCATTCCGACATGAAAATGGTTTCGTTAAATACAAAGAACATCGAATCAGTCTCAGCACTAAGGTCCATACTCTTGACAAGAATAAGAACAAGAAATACAAGTCATAGCTATTCTTGGATCTTGGAATGACATATATCGCTTTTCGCCTATCGCCTATCGCCTATCGCCTATCGTCTTTAGCGATGACAACGTTTTTTTAATTAGGTGTATTTTAATGAATTTTTGCGCCTCATAAGTAAAAAAATTATTGTAAAATTATTAAGACAAGAAGAGAGAAAAAAYGTGATGGAAAGAGGGAGAGAGCAAGAGCGAATGAAACGGACACATTCCATGGAACTTTATTTCATTGCCGGATAATAATATTTCCTTTCGAGTGTGTTCTAATAAGTGTCTTTTAGTGAGTGATATTAAATATTTTGCATAACAAGTAGACATGAACGATAGAGCATAATTTCCTTAATAAGATTTCAAAACGTTTCTAACAATTCACTTCTGCCTTTAAATGCCAACTCATACAGTATTTCCTTCATGCCTTTTGCTGTTTGCGCAATAACTTTTGAATAGATAGCATTTTTTYCCGGTAAAATGTGTCCCATGCAGCCGAATTGGCGGTGTCACCATAGAAACCACAAGTYCTTTTTTGGTCACCTGTCTACGCCAACGCACTTCCTCTTTATCTTTGTATTCAATGAGATGCCTCAAACCCATTTCTTGTTCATCAATTTTTTCATTTTCTCTTTCTTTCTTTTTTCTTTTTCTTTCCTTTTCCTTTTCTCGACTTTTCCGCGTTTCCTTTTCTCCCCCACCTACTTCTTCGTTCCTTATTATTTTCCTTGCTTCTGTCTTTCTATATCATCATTATTAAGCTCCACTTGTTTTCTTTTTGTTTTTTAATGCTTTACTGATTTTCCTCTCATTCTTTTCACTTCTTTCAGTGCTCTTTCTAAAGACAACCGTAGTATACTCTCCATATTGCTTGACGGGTACGACAAAGAGGTGCGACCATACGATGAAGGTAAATAAAAAGGACTCGTTAACCATCAAATTAGTAGTGCAATTATCAGAGGCGAATTGTTTTGTGGGGTTGGAGGGAGGGATGGATAAACAATTCAGTTTGAAATAAAACATACGGCGTGCACACTTATCACYCCAAGTAAAGAACACTAAGAAAAATTTTGATGAAGAAGTAGAAAACGCAACTTCCTCGCTCCCCTAACAGCGCCTGCAAGGAAACAGCTAGCTTTCGTCAAAATAAAAAGGYTTGACCCTTTAAACAGCTCAATATTAATACATGGCCCTCCCACTCATTTGAAGCTGCAGCTCCCCCAAATAAAAAAAGTACTTTCCATAGAGGGAACTTAATTATATTTGGCATTGGCCGTATATACTCAGTGTCCACGTTTAGTTTTCCTATGACTGTGAAAAGTTTAATTTGCTGCAMGAACGCGGCCGTTACACCGCAAGGCATACGCCAGCCAAGACCAAAAAAATCAGCCAATTAAGATTYTAGAACACTTTGATTCTCGGTGACGGCAAGGTACGCATATATGAGCTTTGAGCATCATACGAAAACTGCTYTATTGATTTTTTTCTACAGTGAAGTTTCTTCCGGTACAAGTTGATGCGGTTATTGATTCGATTGGAGTCATCGAAGAAGCAAGCATGGTAAGATTTCCTTTTCATTGCGTGGGTAATGCTTACAAAGTCTGCAATCCGCAAGCAAAYCGTTTAACCTCTATTTAAGGTGTATATTATACTGGAAACAATGTAGAATGAAGCCATATCCAAAGGAGGAACAAACCTATGACAACAACAAAAGAGGAACAACCCTACAACAACAACAAAACTACTAACTCGCTAGTAAAACAACAGCTTTTTTTGTTGCGCGAAGGAAGCTCTGCAATATTAGAGATGAATACTGCGCACAACGACAGATCTAAATCTCTAGTAAAACAATAAATACTAAKCCCTGGATGTCATGAGATTGACTTTTTAATGCCAATTAAATATCACTAAAAGCGTTTGTTGATTTAACATTTGTCAGCAGTATACCGTATATTTCTATTTTCGTCAATACTGGACAGACGACAGATTAGCAGGCAAAGTCAATAAGACTGTAACATTGACAGGAGAGTCGATAGGCAATATATGGAGACCTGATCCATACTGTTATAACGCACGCCATTCGAATCTTATGGTTGAAGACAAGGATATCAGAAGTAGACTCACTGTAAAACCCGATGGAAGCATATTCTACACCAGATGGTATGTGGTTGG